GTCTAACTGTTTATATATCTGTCTTTCCATCTTTCTCTTTTATTTTCTATTTATTTTACAGGTGGCACACTGGCACCATCACGAGTTTTCATATTCAGCATTACCGTGTGGTAGGGCTGTGTATCCCAGAGAGACTTCATGTTCAGGATCTCATGTCTAATTCTACTCTGGTGAGGAATGTGTAGATGGCAAGCATGAGCAAGAGATGGGCAGTTTAGATTGCTTTGATCTTGCTGCATTCATAATGTACATATCATCAGGTAGTTTAATACCTTTTATGATCCTGTTTTACTGCAGATTTTAAGTAAGTGAAATTTATTGAAAGAAAGGAAGAAAAGCTGTTTTGGTTACTTTATAAGACTGATTAAATGATCATAGCTCATCTTGCTTTGTAACATAAGATATATTTTGATCTGCTGTATGTTTGTGCATTTGGATAGGAAGCTCTTTTTGTACCTAGCCTTATTTTATATGTGGTATGGTGAAAAAAAAATTCTTTTGTTAAATCTGTGTATGCTGAAAAGAATTTGACCTGATTGTGGTAAGAATACTAGTAGCAATAGAATATTTACAATCCTAAGTAGCTCATATTAGGAAATGAGATGACTGGTCTCCTTTATATACATGAATGATATTGATTATAATCAGAAAAAATATGTTATTTACTAATGGAAATCTTTCTGCACTTTGTATAGGGTAAGAAGAATAGCTACATAAACTTGTACAAGTTATTAAAAGGAATTTTTTGTATAAAAAAAATCAACAGTTTGTATTCAGATTAGGCCTGATTACTTATAGATTTAAGCCATTTGTAAAATGACTGAAATGAATGCAATCATTCTCTTTACTTTGCAGAATCAAGTCACCGTCTTGAATATTGAAACTGGCCACATATCAGGGGTAGCATACAGTGGAACTCTGGTACGAGGAGTGGAACAATATGGCCGCAGACTATTTCACTCCAACTCAGCACTTCAGGCAGCTTTACAAGCAATTCTGGTTACTTTGGGCTTAAAGATATATTTGTTATACCATCTTCTTGAGACTACTGATCGTAGTGCCAATGATATACTGAAGGGAATAGGAATAGCCAAAGGAGACTGGGACATTATAAAATATTTGACTGGCTTAATACAGTCACAACTAAAAAATGCATAAATTTGTCCTGATGGCAAATTAGTACTTAATTTGATGATAAAATTATATACACAAATGAAGAATACTTCCATTAACATGTTAAAGTATTTTAGGTAATATTGTGATGATAATTTCTTTACACGGATGTAATTGTACATACACTTATGGATGTGTTCATTGTTTATTGGTTTATATATTTGATAAAAAAATATGACTAATGGTTAAACAAATTTATGTATTTAAGTGTGATGTTTTTTTCTGATGTGATGTGATGTGACTATTGATAAGCATATTTAGTGTATTTATTTATAGGGAAGGTCAATAGAAATTGTCAAACATTCAGTATTGTACTTCATATAGTGCTGGTATTGTTATAGCCAAAGTTAAAATGTGATAATCCTCTTTCAGTATTTTTTAAGTAGAACATAGATCATCATTCCAAAATGTTATTTTGTATCTTTTTGTATAAATTCAATTATATTATCCAAATATATTCTTTGTATTGTTTCTAAATAATACTTTTCCACAGTTTGGTAAATTGGTTTTCTATTTTGTGCTTGAAAAAAATATGGATTCAAAATTGTATAGAAATATTATCACTGAATGTTTCTTACTAATTTTTGAGTTTAGAAATGCCTTTTTCTTTCTTTTTATCCCATTTTAAGATAATATTGGAATTATTTCACCCAAGTTTCATCCTTTCTTGAATAACTTGTTATATGAAGTTGACACCAGTTTCAGGGCAGTGCCTACCTCTCTAAATAAAAGCCTGATGTATGTATGATACCTCTGTGATTTTTAGAAATAGTTTAGAACCTATTGACTTTAACCATTGACTTGGGAATAAAGGGCAACCCAGTCTTAGTATTTGAAGAAAGATTATTGAAGGTGGGTCTTATGTAGAAGAAATGCCTACTTTGATGACTTTGATGTGTAATTCAAAATAAAATGGGGGTAAAGTTTGCAATGAAACTTCATATAATTAACGGTGAAAGCTCTCTTATCCAAATATAACATATCAGAGTTTTCCAGTCCTTCATTCAGAAAATGAGAAAAAGATAGAAAAGGTACATATTATGTATACAGAATATTTTCTATATGGAAATTAAATGTTTAGAAAAAAAAACATATAAGGCATAGGACTAATAGATAGAAGACTACAATATTTAATGTTTTTAAACTGTATTTTACATGACAGCAAAAAGATAAAAAATAAACAAGAAATTGCTCAAAATATCTATTTACTGTTGGGCTTTAAGGCTGATGAGTAATACACTATTACACTTTACCACTGTGGCTCAGTGTTTGCACCCTCATCTTCAGTTGTGCTGTTAGAGCAAATTTCCCCATACTGCCCTTGGTATCAGGAAAGGTATCTACTGAGGCAAGAATGACACTGTTTCATTGAAAGCCCTCAAAGGTATGGGATTCTGACTATAAACCAGGGATAAGCTGTTCCAGATGAAATTGTAAGAATATCATATCCCATGCAAGTCATAATGAATGAGGACAGGAAAATACTTTGAGGAATATTTCATGTGGAAGGAAAGTTCTGAGGTGTGTGATATCTTACACTTACAGTATTTATGTTTGTCTTGTCAAATCCCATGTCATTTTGCAAAATTGAACACATAGCCACTTGCAGTCTGTGATACATATATTTTCTATTACTATGAATATGATTATGGGAAATATAGTGATTAATTAGGCAAAATAATTTTCCAGATATTGCACCAGATAGTCAATGACTAAGGTGTTTTCACTTTTGGATATTAGGATATTAGTATTAATGCTGTATGATGAGTTTAATTTTACCTTAACCCAGTTAGTGTTATCTGTAAAATGCTATTATCTCATACCTAAAACTAATGTTCATGGTAGGTAAATCCATGTTTTCCTTTTTATCCCTCTTATTGAAGGCATCAGTTCCAATAAAAACAAAAATTGTCATAGAAGTAATCAAATGACCCAAGATAATTTTCCTATGCAGGGAATTTCTTTGCAGTAAGGGCTGCATGACATAGATAGGAGCATATAATCACTTTTGTTTCAATAATCATGTGTTGAAATCCTGCATATATTTTTTTATATGCATTTCAATAACAACCTCGCTGGTTCATTATTTGCAACATTTTCAAATTAGATTCCCTTGGCAAATTATTAACTGGAATCTGGGAGTACAAAATCATCTTGGAGCAACAATCTTGTTCAAATGTAAAGTTGAGGTAAAAATCACAATAAATGTGAAACAGGAATTGGTCCAATACTACAGAGATTTCCTGATCAATTTTGAGGTTTATGTACTCAGCTTGTAATGTAATGTATCTTGTAAAGGAGAAATCCAAATCCAAAATAGTTTCTTGCAAAATAAGTTGTAATAAATTTTAGTCTAAAGCACACTTGTTGTTACAAAATAGCAGTTATCCTTTGCTTTTGTAATTTCAAGGATCAAAAATAAAATACAGTATTGAATTAAAACATGCAATAGTATTGATGTGTCTTGTGATCAAGTTGGTTTTCAAAGTTTTTGGAAACATCAAATTGATAAGTTTTAAAGTGCAGAATAACCCTTTTACCAGTATTAAAGAGGAACATTATAGTGAGGTGGTACTTTGTTTAAAGTTCCTTTAAAGGGCAATATTCAATTCATCATCAGTGTTGTACATAACTCATCCTAAGAAATTTTTCAAAAGTTGGTATACAGTGAACCCTCGCTATAACGCGGTTCACTTTTTGCGTTCTCGCTGCTTCACGGATTTGCTTTGTGCATTGTGTTCTGCATTCTGATTGGCTAAACAGTCTCTCCGCTTCTTCTCTACCTGTGTGTCAATAACGTTATGGTTTAATATGTACATGTACGTATAACAGCTTGCCAAATTCAAGTTTGCAAATTTTCTCTTGAACCCATGAAGCCTTCAGTTCATATTGATGATTAAAATTATTATTTTACAGTACAATAGTTATTTGTAAAAAAACGTTTATACAGTACTTTTATTTGTTAAACAAATGCTTGGGCCTGTAAAAAGGTTTTGTTCTTTGGTTTCAATGTATTGTAGAGTATTTCATTGTATAATAATTGTAAAAAAAATAAAGGTTACTACTTCATGGATTTCGCCTATCACGGGTTCTTTTTGGAATGTAACCCCCGCGAAAAACGAGGGTTCACTGTATTACATTCAGCAATGATTCCCAATCAAAGTTTATTTCCATAAATACTGCCTGTTATAGGATGTCCTAGTGATAATATATATATATATATATATATATATATATATATATATATATATATATATGAAGAAAACATTTCTAGCCATAGGATAATACAATCAAATGACAAATCAAAATTGTTAGGATGTTATACATATGATGTAATCCATTATAATTCTGCATTAAGTTTTGGACAAAGCTGAAATATGTATTCATGTGTAAATCATTTGTGTGCACTTTTGGAAAGCTTGGGAGCCCCCCCCCAAATGAAAATGTGTGAATTAATAAACATTTATAAAACTTGCTTGTAGTATTCTTTTCTAGTAAGTGTTGATTATAGTCTACATTATGTACATATATCCATATTAAGTCTATGGAGAATGTTGCATTCTTGGAAACCTGGTATTTTTATATATGAAGGGAATGTGTTTTTCACTTGATGGATGGTAATATATCTATAACAGTTACATTACTACACCAGTATATGCCATTTTGCTTGTTTTAAATGAATTTTGCAAAGTATCATGTTTGGTTATTACATCTGCCAAGGAGTTTATGTTTTTGGTCATGTTTGTTTGTTTATTCATTGATTAGCAGGATAACTCATAGGTTATGAACAGACTTTCATGAAATTTTTACCAGAGGTGAATATTCTAGCACAGATTCCAATAAACTTTGGTGTGTGATCCAGAGCCAGGAATTTTTTAAATGATTACCAAAGCAATAGGGGTAATGATTATTATTATGAGTACCCTTATCATCACCAAGGAGATTATGTTTACAGCAGTCACCAGTGTACTAGAAAAAAGATGATTTCAATGTAATTCTTTGTGAATATTTTTATTGCATCAGTGGTCCAATTGTATTGGCGGAGGTATGCGCTCCCTTGAGTGCTTATAGTATTTAGTATATAAATGTTATTTATGGTGTATTATGCATAGGTTTTATTTCCTCTGGGTCCTATACAGGCCATCTTTTGGTTTGGCATTGTCTAATGAGGAAGTTAGTAAATACTTTATTGCTGCCTGGTTGACATGTACAGATATGACATTTCCAGTGAACTTAAAGTATATTAATTGTGTTTACAGTCATAAAGGGGTCAATTACTCATCCTCTCTATCTCAACCAATATTTCTAGATATTTAGAAATATTCTTTAATTTTCATTTCTATTAGTAATGTTCTTAAATTAAAATAATCATATTATTTACAAAACAAAGTTACAGTGTACATTCTATGTTCCTGATGGCAATAGGTTAAAGGTCCCATTTTAACTTCAGTCAAAAAAGGCATTACTAAATGTCATCAATAGTTTGCAAATTAGATATCATATTTTGTAGTTGATATGCATTAAAATACCATAGCCAGTATATCTTCCCTGTGTACACACAGCCAACAGTCAACCAGGCAGGTATATTTCTATACATAAAATGTATTGTGATTTTAATTGAACATGTAATTTTGAAGAGGATATGACACGGAAATGCATTAAATACACCCGCATTGTTAAATTATTGCATATCATTCATAGATTTTCTACATTTGCCAAATTCATAAAAAAAAATTCTCTGCTCTTCCTCCCAAAACAATGGTATGAAATCTAAAATTACTTAGGAACTGTTGCCACACTTTCTTTAAGTTGTTTGGTTTTGCGTGTTTTTGTCATGATGAAATATGTATGGGGTAGAACAGGAGCCATATGCACTGTATTCATATCAACTTCTAATTTCTCCCCAGGTCTTTGTCCTGAAGCACATATATACAATATTATTTACTTGACATATTGGTACTTGTGCAGGACAAGAGCCTGCTAGTCTTAGTCTTGCTTCATGGAAGTACACCATCAACTCCATTCTGTGCCTTCAAAACTAATCTTGATGCCCTTTGCAACAATGGATAGTCACACTATGAGACCAGTTTAGGGCCTGCATGTTACGATCATGCCCATCAGATCATTTCCTCTAAGACAACACTAAAAGAGTCCCATGTTACAACCTATGAAGTCATGGCTTGGGCAAATTGCTGAGATTTGTTTATGATGAGCTAGAAATGAGCTGCTTGTCAATAGGGACTCAAGGAGTATTGGGTGAATGTGGCAATGCACCATAGATTAATCAATATCTTATTTCTGTAGTTTCCCAACCATAAAATCTTCTGGAAGAGTATATGTCTAGTATTAGCTGTCCTCAGGAAAATCACAGAATGGAAAGCTTGTAATCACAGCAAGTAATACTCATGTATCATAGTAGCTTATAGCAATGTACTGAAGAATAACATATCCCACTAAAGATGCAATGCTAAAATATTCAGCATTTAAATCAAGGGAAACAGAGGACTTCTCATTCTACCAAAGAAGAGAAGAGAAAAGAGTACAAAAGTTAAGAAATGACAAAGCGAAGTGTAGTGTGGAGGCCAAAAAAGAAGAGAGGCGGAGAAAAATCGGAATGAAAAAAAAAAAAAAAAAAAAAAAAAAAACAATATTCAAATAGATTTAATTTATTTTACTGTTTCAAAAACCTCCTGGAAATTTTACAAGAGCCTGTTATCTAGGTAATAAATTTTTAGAATCATTAAATTTTTCTGAATCACTGAGTATTGCTGGGCCTTAAGTAAGGCCTGCATAGTTTATTTCTTTTAAATCTCACTGAATTGAAATAAAAATTTTAGTTTTGAACCAATATATTAATGTATGGTTAATGGTTTTAAAACAAACTAAATGTGCAAAGCATCAAAGGTCATATACCACTGTAAGGTGTAGGAAGGGAATTGGGGAAGGGGTGTAGGGGAACGAGTAGGAAGAGGAAGGATGTTGACCAATACTTTAAGTGTAGTTGTAATGGGAGCAGAGATATTGATGGGTGGATGAGGGATAGTTATGTTATTTTGGGTCATGATTAGACAAGTTTTGAAAACTTCTGAAAGGGGGTTGGTTGGGGAAGTCTGAAAAACAAAGGTTTTCTTTAGAGCAAGAAAAGAGATTTCAGATGTCTAAGGGCAGAGGAAGAGGTAGAGGTAGAAGATGGGGTGGAACATTTAGATTGTCTGATGTGATAGGTAGACCAAGGAGGAGGAGGGGTCGGTAGTGGAAAAGTAGAGATTGGAATGTCTGGATTTTGAATGGCAAAGGAATTTGACTGTGAGAGGGAGAGGGGTTAGAACTGGGAACATAAGGAATAGGACAAAGAGATACTGAAAGAGATGCAGAAACATATTGGGGAGAAGGGGAAGGAGCAGAGCAAAGGACAGTTTGGATTAAGTAGTATTAGAAAAACCTCATCTGCGTGCTTCCTTCCTAGCCTTGTGTAAAGTGCTACCTCAGACTCAAACTTGTGGGTGAGGCAGCTCCTATAAAATACATAATGGAAGCCACCACAATTGGCATGCACATGATTACGTAAGGCAGTTTGAACGATCATGGCCAGGTTGGTCATATAGAGGGCTGTGAAACAACACTGCTTAGCATGGTGACCAAAACAACATTTCTGACATTGACAGGGGATGGGTCAGTATGACTGGACAGAACAGGACTCTCCACCAATATAAACTTCTTGGGATGGTCATTTTGGCAATATTGGTGTAGGACTTTCAGTGGTGTCTGGGGTCATTAGTGTAGCACTCTACTGATACTACTTTGAGGTAGGCAAGTAGGTCATTTTCACAGTCTGACCAATCCTTGTCATAGACAGGGCAATCAGCTGGGGAGATAGAAACTGATCCAGTACAAAGTTTATGGGAGGAGTGAGGCTGGGCTGGAATAGTTCTGTGAGTTCAGTTAGGGTAGATAATGCATGAGCTTGAGACTTGGATATATCTATGACATGGCATAAATACTCGGAAAGGCTGCAGAAGGAAACTTTGCCTACTTGTTTTTGGACTGTTGGAACAGGAAGGTATTGTCAAAGTAAGAGGCTCTAGGGAGGAATCACAAATAATCAATCCCACTTGGCTAAGCTATAAAGAATGCTTCAAAGATTTGTATAGGTGGATGTAGAAGGATGAGGGCAGGAGGGAGAGTGGTGTTGAGTGAGGTTGTGCTATGGGGAGGTTGACAATAAGGATACAGAGAAGTAATAAGGAGGAGGGTGTTGTAAATGAAGGACTGGAGTGAAGTATGTTGAGAGACAGAAAGGAATGTTTTCTGAAGATTGAATAATGATCTGGGTAGGTGCTTTGGTGAACTGCCAGCAGGTATTAAGGAG